AATGAGTAGGACTTTCCTGGTAGTGACTTTATACACGTGACCATATGAGAGCATTGAAGAGGGAGAGCTAACTCTCCCCACCCTCGACCATAGTAGGTTATTTGAAGGCACCTAAGAAAATGAAATGAATTCATATTATTCTACATTAATCTTCATTCTTACTCTCTTTAATATAAATAATAGAAACAATGTGTATTCATTTTAATAGTTGACAATATGTTTATGAATTTCATACTTATTTTTTAAGGTATTTCCAAGTGTTTAACATATAAAATTGTAGACAAATATTCATGTAAAATTCATTGTTTGTGTGTGTGTGTGTGAGTGAGTGTTCGACTCATGTTTTGGAATTACCTGCTAGAACAAGTTACTCACTGAAATGTACCAACTCATGAATTATTTGAGATTTTCTTGTTTAATAAAATGATGAATAAGTATACTAATTTCAAAAGAACAAACAAAAAACAAAGAAAGAAACATGAACAGTATATATGATATATGAATTATGTACTTTAGTCTACTCCTGACTGAATATTCCATATATATTACTCAAGAAAATGAGAACAAGAATTTGAAAATGTTCTAAAGTGAATTTCATTAGTATCAGTAAAATCTTTACAGAGATTAAAATAAACTTTTAATTACTTATTTATTTACTTACTTACTTACGTCTGTTAATCCTCGTAGAGGAGCATAGGCCACCCACTAGTACTCACCATCTAACTCTGACCTGAGTAATCCCTTCCAGATCTTTCCTTTCCCGACATAATGTGTTCTTTGGCCTTCCAATTTTCCACTTCACTTCATGATTCCAAGTTAGGGTTTGTCTCGTGATGCAGTTTGATGATTTGAGTAATGTATGCCCTATCCACTTCTATCATCTTGTATTAGTGAATGTAAACTGTTAAGCATAATCAAGAGAATTTATTTGGCATCTGTAACGTAATTGTGATCAATGTTGTATGTTCAGTTTTATTTTACGGATTGATTGTTCATTTTAGCAAATCAATAAAACAGTTCATTTTTCCATTGAACAATAGGGTATATGTTCTATTTCAATAGAACAATGAGAAGAAATTTATAAAAAGGGACTAATTGCTTTATATGATATATCCGGGCGAGAATTATGAATGGTAACTTTTGAGAACTACTGTATGGGGCAGAAACCTGGAGAACTACAAAAGTCATCATCCAGAAAATACAGGTGTTTATTAACAATTGTCTACGCAAAATACTTCAGATCCATTGGACGGACACTATTAGCAACAACGTACTGTGGGAGAGAACAAACCAGATCCCAGCGGAGGAAGAAATCAGGAAGAAGCGCTGGAAGTGGATAGGACACAAATTGAGGAAAGCACCCAACTGCGTCACAAGACAAGCCCTCACATGGAATCCTGAAGGTCAAAGGAAAAGAGGGAGACCAAAGAACACATTACGCCGAGAAATGGAGATAGACATGAGAAAAATGAACAACAATTGGATGGAACTAGAAAAGAAGGCAGAGTGGGACAGAGTGGGTTGGAGAATGCTGGTCAGCGGCCTATGCTCCATTGGGAGTAACAGGCGCAAGTAAGTAAGTAAGTAAGTAACTTTTGAGAACTATTTATAGAGCAATACGATACAAATATTTTTACTGTATAATTATTAAGTAGCTAAACTATTCATATTCGTGTTCCTCTTATTATAAGCTTTATTTTCATCCATAAACAATTACCATACGACTGACCATTCTTCAGTTATGCCCAGTCTATTAATTACAGTCTCCCACATTCACAACCACTTGTGGCTAGAACTTGTACAAATGTTGTTTCCTATTTTGTGGTTTGATGTGGTCTGTTTGGTGTTGTATATAAACCCAATATATTTGAAATACATGATTCATATTGCAGAGGCTGAGATTTGTGTTCTGAACTCAACAAGCAAGGCTAGGCAAAGAGAAGGACCGATAAGGACTCTAGACTTCTAGTTCAGGTTTTATGTGTCATTGGTCGAGTTGATAAATTACTGTTCTCTAATTGGCAATATTTAACATTAACAATTTGTCTATATCTTTGTAAACGTGTATGCTTGAATCTTATTAACTACCTTACCTTGTTGTGTTTTACTTTACCTTGTTTCGCTACGCCTTGATTCAATTTGACTATAAATTCACTTCTGTATTTGCTCGTTCACACTCATTAACCTATCTGCTAAAAAATTCGCTCAATGTGCTTGTAACTTTGTTATCTGTGCTGTCCCTTAATAAACTGTAGTCACCGCTTCTTATTGCCTTCTGAATTCAAACACCGTTGGGAATTTGTATGCTAACGGTTAACAAAGTGATTGATTAACGAATTCTAAGCCAATAGAAATCCATGAACGACCAGTGAAAAGCAAGGATAGCGAGGTAATCACCAACATTGAAGAGCAACAAAACAGGTGGGTAGAACACTTCAAAGAACTCTTGAATCGACCAGCTCCACTGAACCCACCGAACATCGAAGCAGCAAACACGGACCTCCCAATCAATGTTGGCCCACCAACAATTGAAGAGATCAGCATGGCCATCAGACAAATCAAGAGTAGCAAAGCAGCAGGACCAGACAACATTCCAGCAGAGGCACTGTAAGCAGGCGTAGCGGCAACTGCAAGGATACTCTACATTCTCCTCAATAAGATTTGAGATGAGGAACAAGTACCAAAAGACTGGAAAGAAGAACTTCTGATCAAAATGCCGAAGAAAGGCGATCTCAGGGGCATCACCCTTCCCTCAATACCGGGAAAAGTCTTCAACAGGGTATTGTTAAACAGGATGAAGGACTGCGTAGACGCCCAACTTCGTGACCAACAGGCAGGATTCCGTAAGGATAGATCGTGTGTAGACCAAGTCGCAACTCTACGGATCATTGTGGAACAATCAATTGAATGGAATTCATCACTCTACATCAACTTCATTGACTACGAAAAGGCATTTGGTAGCGTGGACAGAACAACACTATGGAAGCTTATTCGACACTACGGCGTGCCTCAGAAGATAGTCAATATCATACAGAGTTCATATGATGGATAACACTGCAAAATCGTGCATGGAGGACAATTGACAAGGTCGTTCGAAGTGAAGACCGGTGTTAGGCAAGGTTGCTTACTCTCACCCTTTCTCTTTCTCCTGGTGATCTACTGGATCATGAAGACGTCAACATCTGAAGGGAATCACGGGATACAATGGACATCGAGGATGCAATTGGACGATCTAGACTTCGCAGATGATCTGGCCCTCCTATCGCAAACGCAACAACAGATGCAGGAGAAGACGACCAATGTAGCAGCAGTAGGTCTCAATATACACAAAGGGAAAAACAGGATTCTCCGATGCATCACAGCATGCACCAATCCAATCACAATTGACGGAAAAGATTTGGAAGATGTAAAAAACCTTTACATATCTGAGCAGCATCATTGAGGAACATGGTGGATCTGATGCAGATGTGAAGGCGCGGATCGGCAATGCAAGAGCAGTATATTTACAACTGAGGAACATCTGGAACTCAAAGCAACTGTCAACCAACACCAAGGTCAGGAATTTCAATACAAATGTCAAGACAGTTCTACTGTATGGGGCAGAAACTTGGAGAACTACGAAAGCCATCATCCAGAAGATACAGGTGTTTATTAACAGTTGTCTACGCAAAATACTTCAGATCCATTGTCCAAACACTATCAGCAATAATCTACTATGGGAGAGAACAAACCAGATTCCGGCGGAGTAAGAAATCAGGAAGAAGTGTGGAATTGGATAGGACACACATTGAGGAAAGCACCCAACTGCGTCACAAGACAAGCACTCACATGTAATCCTCAAGGCCAAAGGAAAAGAGGAAAACTAAAGAACACATTACGCCGAGAAATGGAGATAGACATGAGAAAAATGAACAAGAATTGGATGGAATTGGTAGAGAATGCCCAAGACAGAGTGGATTGGAGAATGCTGGTCAGCGGCCTATGCTGCATTGAGAGTAACAGGCGTAAGTAAGTAAGTAAGTAATCCATGAAAATATATCTTTAATATAAAGTAAGGCATTTTGGAATTCATAAGTTGTTTCTCCCCTTTGTATGAAGCTTTAATGCATTATCAGTTTATAGTTCTGTGCTAATTAAACAGACCATCATATATGTACTGTGAACAAGTCAATCAATTACTTTTATTACCCAACTAAGATTTTTATTAAAATGTTAAATTCAGCAAAGCTCATTACAGTAGAGTAATTTTTGATTCAGATAACTTGTATAGTATGTATGTAAAAATTATATTCAACCTAAAAGAGCTTTCGTCTAAATTCAAACAAATAATTTGGTACCAAGTTACTGTAAGACATTAAGTAGGAAATTATATTGGTGAAACTTTTCATGTTTGATTATATTTCCTTGAAAAAACTTTGTCATTTATTTATTTTCAGAAGGGGTTTGCTATAGTTAAAATCATGAGTCCATTGAAGCTAGACCATCACGGAAAACCTGGAAGTACTGGACGGCTGTTTCGTCCTAGTATGGGACTAGCGGGGGTCGGGATCGTGGATGCGCACTTCTGACGAGTCCCACAATACGACGAAACGGCCATCCAGTGCTTCCAGGTTTTCAGTGGTGGTCTAACATCAATCGGTTCATGATCTCAATCAAAAACTTAACAATCTCCACAACCCCTAAACTGATAATCGCTTGGTATTGTTTTACATGAATCTTCCCATTGATGTTTAGAACTGCAATTGATCGGTGTCTTTACACTTATATTAGATCTCTTTCAAATTGTCAATTGATCATGGTGACTAAAATTAGAAATTTAGGAAATTTTTACAAAATTTTTTCATATCTAAATAAATTATTAATAAAATAGCCGAGCGTATGATGGACATACATAAGGGGAAACAAATTAAAAATTGCCTATGTACAATCCATGGATTAACCAATGAAATTTATATTCTGTAAACAATAAAATACATTTTTACTATCTCACTTACACTTCATTTGATGGTTCACAAATCATACACCCACTCGCATGATTAAAAACTCTGGACAAACATATCCGTGTATTTACTACGACTAAGATACAATTTAAATAAAACGTAAACGTTCTCTGTTTACAATCATATTCTCACGATTAACACTACAGATACTATCCTGTCAACAACAGCAACAACAACAAAAAAAACCCCAACAGAATTCATAATGAAAGTATTGGGAATTTGTATTGTAGTTACATTAGTATTCAGTGGAATAAATTGTGTAAAAAGTAAGTATGTTTAATTGTCCTGATGATTAAATGATAGTTTCAGTGTTTATGTAAGATGTTAGTATTATAGACTAAATTGTTTTATCGGTTCTGATATATCACAAGATAAATGATCTTACAGAAGTCAGTAACGGTAACATATTCGAAAAACAAAATCGAATCAGACAATGGTAAATGAGCAATAAATGTGGTGTTCCTGATGAACACAATTCAATGAGGCTGTAATACATACTCTATTGATAATTCTTAAGCTAAAGAAGATTCTTGTGGTCATTGTTTAACGAACCTTAACTTAATTCGTTGTCACATAAAATAATTTTAAAAATATAGATGTTTTAAAATTTTACATCACAGATTGACCTTTATTAGACAATAATGAAAGAAAAATAACTAATGGACAGTTGCTTTGTCCTGATATGTAACTCCCTGTTAGAGTTGTAGATGAGCACTGTTGTGGAGTAAACAATTAGGTCAAAGCATTCTCAGTACTTCCTAGTTTTCAATAGTTTTCTAACTTCAGTCAATTCCTGATGAAAAAAATATGCAAAATTAAATACATTAGATCTCTTTATAGTGCATATAGAAATTAAGAGTTAAGTACAATGAATATAAGTATTTTGCTGATGTAGTGAACATTTTATTAATCATAACTTAAAATAAGCCTTAAGAATCACAACAATTATTTGAACCACTGACACAACTATATCGACGTAGTTCTAACTTCAAATCTAGTGAGTTAACGGTTACAGTTTAATAAACATAGTGTATTGTTTAAGATGGATGAAGGTGACTGATGATTGGTTGGAACTTAGGTTTTGTGCTGGTTAATGCGTCGTCAGAATTTCTTAGCTGTTGTTTGTGGGACACATGACTCTAACAATATCTGGGTGATTTGGCTGAGCAATAGATAAACCATAATATCAGAAGGGGTTTTGTGGAGATTTTATTAATTTCTATAGTTGAAATCATGAGTCAATTGAAGCAAAACCATCACAGAAAATCTGTAAGCACTGGACGGACGTTTCGTCCTAGTATGGGACTCGCGAGGGTCGGGATCGTGGATGTGCACTGCTGAGGAGTCCCAAACAAGGGCGAAACGGCCGTCCAGTGCTTCTAGGTTTTCCATGGTGGTCTAGCTTTAATTGACTAATGATTTCAACTATCGATATACATTGTTGTTCAGATTTTCTGTTGGTTGCATTTAGCTTGTGAATATTAGACTAAGCGAACTGCAATGTTACATTACTGATCCTCATTGATACATTAGAAACCTAGTAAATTAAAGTAGTGAACTGGAAAACTGTATTTTATCTGAGTTGTGCATTCTAATAATGTAGTCATACGCGTAACTGTTAACTCATTTATAAAAACTAATGAAAGTCACGTCAATGAAGGATCAAACAGACAAAAAGCGATAATTGTAAATAGGAGAAAAAAAATTAGCATGATGTGAAAAGAATAGGGTACTGTCAAATCATTCAATAAAGGTAGGAATTAGGAAATTACGTTTGCCGATAGTTAAAATGAGTCATAGAATTGACATAAAAAATACCTTTTAAAGTGTTGTGCAGTTATTGTCAAGAACGAATTCATAGACTTGCAGAAAGCTTGACTGTTCGCAAATTCAAACCCCTTTATATGTACAGTGAGTGTGCCATGCCTATCTTCAGACTATTTTACTGCTTAGGGTGGTGTGACAACTTCCTACTTCATATTATATTAATTGTTTCCTCTCTTTTATTTACAAATAGCGCTTACTGTTTATTTGCACTTTTATTTAATTTACCTTTAAATGATTTTCATATAAAGTGCCTCGACAATTACATTCGAAAGTTCACCATTTTTTTTATACTCAGTAGCTAAGTGAATAATGTGATGGCGTTTGGAGCGAATAGTACTGCATCATAGTCCTAGAGTGAATACCAACTCCATCGCCTTCGGTCTCACGCCCAAACGCTTAACCTCTAGAGGTTTTCAATGGTGGTCCAACAACAATCGGTTCATGTTCTCAATCAATAACCTTTATTTATTATTCATTTATTTCACTAGATCAATGGAAACATTTAAATGATATTCAGGATACATGTCTTTATGAAGCATAGTTGTAGAGTTGTATTTGGATGTTTTGTATAAAAATCTAATATAACAATTGTACCTTATTGCCGAACTCCTCGAAAATGACACTATGCTTTTTATCTTTATATATATTAATGTGATAAATTACGAGTATTTTCTATTTACCTGTAACACAATCTTCACTAAAAGGAGTAGATATTTTAGTGTATCATAATAGGACTGTGAAGATTGTTGAGTTCCAATTGATATCATGAACCGATCAACGTTAGACCATCACAACCCTATACTGATAAATATCATGTGCTCATTAGTGACTAGCTTCGAGAGGGAATTGTAGGAGTTCTAGTGAGAAGCCGTGATCAGTGGAGCTAATCCGTGTCAGGTAGAGACAGGTATCTACCTCAGACAATAGGAGATGGTCGCACAAAATTGTGGATTAGTTGAAGTTAGACATTAGCACAGTTGGGTGCCGGCTCAGTGGTCTAGAGGTTAAGCGTTCGCGCTATAGGCATAGGGTTCTGGGTCCGAGTCCCTCATACGGGGTCGTGAATGAGCACAGCTAGAAAGAAACGGCCGTCCAGTGCTTCCAGGTTTTCAATGGCGGTCTGACATTGGTTGATTCATGATCTCGATTTTTGTGTATTTTTGTTATTTTCATTCCATTCTACCAACCTAACTTTAAACTAATTCATTAATCGAATAATATTAGTAGTCACTCTAAATTGTCTGTGAAAATCGGAAATTGTGACGTATCATAGCATAAATTTTCAGATAAGTTAGGTTTTTTTTACCATAAAATTCATTCTATTTCAGAAGGGTGTTTAAGTTCTTTTCATATCAGAGACTCACATAAGGTTGACATTTAGGAGGACTGAATGTCGAATTACTCAAAACAGACCATCGTTCAATGCTCTCTATGAACTAATTCATTACGAATAAACTAAAACAGGAAGAAACTGGTACGCATACAGTAAGGTGGTTCGCATCTTTAAAGAAAGTGTTTTCATAGTAGATAACATGTAATATACGAAAAAATAAAAAAAGGAAAGAGGAGGAGTACCTTTTGAAGCACGCCAACTTCGAATAAGAAAGGATTGGGTTACTTTTCTTCATACTTGATATACCCTACTTTTCCGAAATTTGGTGACATAGACAGTCATCCAGCTAACATGTTTAATAACGTAAAACTTAGAGCCGGATCAAAGACAGAAGTTTAGTCTTGAAAATTGTAGTGAATGTATTTTCCAGTTTTATAATCCAAGCAATTTTTTATAAATCACAACAACTGTAGAATCCAGCGACTTCAGATATTTTGAAGCATCAATTTCACTAAAATCTTGGGATACGACTTTCTCTAGAACTTTGAAAAATCGGATATACTTGTCATGTTCTTATGCCCGGTTAATTATCAAGTGATAAGATCACTAATTAGAATACTGAATTGTTTGACCTTGGCACTGCGCCGAATCAATGATACGTCAACCGACAAGAGCAACCTAGAGTCAACTCTGAGTCATTATTGTTTCTTTTCAAATATCCCTGCCCGTTTGAGTCCAGAGCACCATCTCAGTTTCTACTGTATGAATCATGTACTTCGTACATACGCAGTTTATATATAAGCAAATCAGACTGCATCGTATCATTAAATAGAAAATATCAATTATACACAATTAGGCTAAGAATGGCTGTGAGATAAATTGGGAATAACTTGAGTATAGTAAATCATATAATAATAGTCAATAGGTCAAATAAAAGCTCATAATAAAAGGAAATTGAATATACATGTAATAGTTATACAATAAGAATATATATAAAAACGGTCCGAAAATAGTTCTCAGCAGTTATCATTCACTTAATCGTCATCCGACTATAACAATACTGTGTTTGTTGTATATGTAAATTCAGTGAACTAATCAGCGCAGAAAAACTCATGTTTGTATTGATGGAATGAATTTAATAACAAATCTTAAAACCATTCGATAATGCAGCGAACAAGAACACAGCTGGGGACAATCGAATGTACTTAAAAACAAAATTACAGCATATTTTTGTAAAATCTGAGAATTTGCAAAATACCAATCAATTGTCTCAAACTTGACTGTTCCTTCTACAAATATCAGTCAATCGTCTCAGACTTCATTGTTCCTGCATCTTTATATCAATCCCTTTATGTTCCCGTTTTTTCCTTCTCGACCTTCTTATGCCAGATATTCTAATCTTGAATATCACTACATACTACTCATGTCTATATAAGTAGCCCACACCACAATAATACTAAATTACTGTCATATAAATTATGCAATCAGAATTTCTAGATTTGTAATCACATCATTATTATGACACAAATGAATTCACGATAGAGATTGAAGGTAAATCATGTTTCTATGTAAGATATGCAATTATAACTAAATATTTAAGTGATAGTCGTCTGATTAACTGTCATTATTTCCAGGGATATTGCCAACTAATACGGTACCTACATTTGAATTTTACAGTATCATACAAATGAGGTTGTTATTTTCTTATATAATCCCTTTAATATACAATATGGAACTATGAGACAATTGAGCTTTTTAACAATTTTTAATGTAATTTATCAAAAGAATTGTATACATTGACTTGTTCAGACCTTATTTTTTTGATTGATCTCAACTAACATTCTTGCGTTGTTCCTTTGTACTATTTAAACTTGGATTCATTTTGATTCGATCATTTATTCTCTGAAGAAGTGGCTTACATTGAGTTACGAAACGTCAAAAAAATTCTAATTCTTCTACTCATTGGCATATCTACAAATATATTATGCTTCAATATTGGCTGAAGTTAAACACTGGACAAATTATTGCAGGTCCTGATTCGGTGGCCTGTTGTATAACATTTTGACATCTTAAATGGTAGACTTCTGTTTGTAGTTTCAGCGTGAA